ATACGTTTTTGTAGCACTAACAATGCTGACGCCACACGTAAAGAAGTCTGATCTGAAGGACTACTGGTCTACAGATGAAATCATTGGAACTCCATTTTTCCGCAAGGCGATGCCTCGTGATCGATACCTCCAAATATTAAGGTATTTGCATTTCAGCAATAATGAAGAAGCAGTGGCAGGTAATCGACTGTACAAGGTAGATAACATTCTAAAGATGATTCAAGAGAGATTCAGAAGCCAGTTCTATCCGTTCGAAAATGTCGTAATAGATGAAAGTATGATTTTGTTTAAAGGTCGCTTGGTATTCAAGCAATACATAAAAACCAAAAGGCATCGGTTTGTCATAAAACTATATGTTTTATGCGACTGTGAAACGGGGTATGTTTTGAACTTTATGGTATATGTTGGCAAAGACGACAAACAAGCAGACAATGATACTGATAAAGGTCTAGGATTGCCGGGAAAAGTAGTCGTGGAACTTCTGGAACCCTACCTCAATAGAGGTCACTCATTTTACAGTGACAATTATTACACCAGTCCATATTTAGCGAATTATCTTTTTGAGCACAAGACAAACTCTTGTGGAACCGTACGTATCAACAGAAAGCAGATGCCAATTTTTGAAAAAAAAATAAAAAAAGGAGAAACAGAGTGGAGAAGCAGTGACCATATGTTAGCTTTGAAATGGAAGGATCGTCGAGATGTGGTAATGCTTACCACATTTCATGAGAATAAAATGATTACTTTGCCAAAAGTTGATAGAATTACCAAAGAAAACAAGGTAAAACCTTTATGTGTAATTGCGTATAATCAAAATATGGGAGCCATAGACAGATCTGACATGATGATAAGCAGTGTGGATTGCACTCGTAAAACCATAAAGTGGTACAGAAAATTGTTTCTTCACGTATTGGATATTTGTATGCTGAATTCCCATGCTTTATACCAAACTCAGAACGCCGGGCATAATTCATTTCCTGAATTTCATCTAGATGTTATTCGGCAGCTACTTCAAAGGTATATTTCTCTTTTCTATATTTTTCTTCCGAAAAATTCATTTGTTTTTTTCTAGGTATCCATCAAAGTATATTGCTAAACCCGCACAGCACTACACTGGACTTACAAGACTCTCAGAGAGACATTTTACAGCGGAAGTCCCTCGCAAAAATGGCAAGCTACAACTAAGAAGATGCTGGGTATGTTCTCACACAAGAAACGGACCAAAAAAGAGGAAGGATTCGAAATACACGTGTAACAATTGTGGGGTAGGATTGTGTGTATCACCTTGTTTTCGAATATATCACACGCAGGTTGACTACTAGTATAATCTTCTCTTTTAATGATGTTTATACATTCTTTAATATAATTTAAGTTTTGTTAAGTTATCTCTGCGTTTATCAAATAAATAAACTCAACAGTAGCAATCAATTTTGTGTGATTTTCGTGATAAAAACTATTCTTTAGCAATGACGAATATATTCGTCAGCCGCCTATCTGCCACTGTAAAAACTCCCGTCCGTATGCCATGAATCCATCTCTTAGGTGCCGTACTGAAAGGGTTAAACAAATTTGACAGCAATGTATTTCTTATGGGGGATTCAAAAGAGTGATTTTCAGACGGGAATATCTTGGGTTCTGGGCATTTCTTAGTATTTGAACCTATTATACGTCAAAGTTTGAACATATTTCTATATAATTCATGCTCTAATTGTTTTTTTAGACCTATGAATTAAAAATACAAATGATTTTAATTAAAAGTGTCTGTTTTCGGTGGACGTACGTCGGGTTTAAAACCAGCTGTAAGAAAGTGAGGTTGTGTGTTGTGTTATGATTGTTGGTGAATTGTTTATTTATTTATTTATCACTAGTTCAGTCATTTGTTTTTCCATTTTTTTGGATTATTGAAGTACATCTACTAACCAAGTATATAGGTACACTTTTATTTTATTATAATTATAGGTATCCATATACTTATGGATCAAGCAACGACATACGTATTTTATACAAACATCGGCTTCTTAAATTGGTGATATTTTTATTTTAACAATGTTTATTCAACTTTCAAACACTCTCTCAGTTAATTAACATATTGAAAAAACTATTTATACAACCCACTTCCCTAACAAACGTTCTATCACGTCTACACACGCTTTTAAAATTGAGTCCCCATAAGACATCAATGTAATAATTTTTGAACTAGGAACCCGCGCCAATTTGCGATTCTAACCTAACTAATATGATGAATTTTACCTAGGTATAGGCATCAATGGTTATTACGTGCACAACGTAACGGAGACGAGAAGGGAGAAGTAAATAATGAACTTTCAGGGAGTGACTAAAGTGAACGGGTAACTAAGACAAAAACAAAAATATAGAAAGAGAGGGTTGGTTGGTGGCTGAAATCTAGAAACGTGATTTCGTGTAAAGGGTTGCCGACTAGCTTCCAATGCGGAGAGGGGGTGGGTTAATTAAATAACTAAATATAGAGCGCCACCTGCTTTTTCCCTGCAGTACACGAAATCAACCGATATAACGAAAGCAGGAAATTTCTACGGAACTATAGCAGCACAACCTGAAATATGAACAAGAAGGAGGGACAAAAGTGAAACGCTTTGCTACAATCAGGTACAGGTTTTAATTAGATTAAGAAACGTGAAACCAGAATAGGTTGATTCTAGAGCAGGTTCGGAGTGAGTTTTTCGAACGCCCTGGAACACTGAAAATTATTTACACTGGAACCAGAGCAAGAAAAGAAATCGTCTAGAAGTATCTAACCATATGTTCTTAAAATAGTATTTACAATAATTATTAATCACACTCAACTTGAGTCCCTAAATGAAAAAAAATAAAGAGTAATAACAATTAACAGCAAAAATACCTGAAATATTAATTAATAAATAAGCTCACTTAATGCAGTACCTTCGTAAATGGCCATTTAACCCCAGTGTACAAGTATTTCCTGTATTCAGTGCAGCATGTATTTATGGGATAGTTATGATAGAAATATAGATCAATAATTAAAGTTGAAGTAACAATAAATAGCTTTGAGGGGCAAATTTAATATTATGGAATAATATAGAAGGTATAGATAAATACTTAAAATTGAAGTACCTAATATTACATAACCTGAATGGTAAATTTCATATGATAAAGGTAATATAGAAAATTAATTAACATTGAAATAAAAACACATAATTCTGAAGAGTAATTTAATACTGTCGTAGAACTGCGTGGTTGTGGTGATTCACTCCAACAAGGGGTTGGTAAGGTTTGATATTAAGACAATACAACACACTTATCAAACCTGAGTAGTCCCTAAACTCTTGGAGAGAACCTGACAGGTGGGACTGGATCAGGGCCGCAACAAGAAGCAACCTGGCCCTGTGCACTGAAGTTCAGTAACTAGGAGTCACTAAGGCTTCCAATGGTCTAGAGGAGGCTGAAGATTGTAGGTACTACTTGAAATATACAGTAAGCTGAACGTATAACTCTTTACTGAAAGTCAGGGACTTAAGCGTGACGAATAAAAGGTGGACATCTAAAGGTAAAGGCCTGAAACAAATGGACTTTATGAGACTGGGTGTGGAGCAATAGGTAGGTATGTCCAATATTCGGAATTTAACCGTATAATTAACAGAAAACTAAGCTTTTATAGGAAATAGAGAAACACAGAGAAGATTAATAAGAAAAACGACTTACCAAAATACTTTGGCCGTTAGGAACAAACAATTGGTCACGTTGCTCTTTTTCGACTCACAAAAAAAATCCGCACAAGGCGATTGGGTGCTAAAATAACGGATTAGCCACCCTAGATCTATGAGCGAAAACTAGACAACTCAGAAAATCGGCAAAATGTGCCTGAGGAATTTTCCCGAACACTTAATCGTGGAAAGTCCTCGACCTGAATGACCTCTGCTTGTCCCTGCAATGTCCTTCAAAAAGTCTCTGTCAAAACTCCAAGGTGGAAGGTACTGGGGATTTTGATGGTAGTTGGGGCATGGTACTTATTCAAATTAAGTAAGTACCGGTCACTGACCCTATTTGGAGCGCTGTCAATCTACTCGGATCAGACAATCAGCTGTTCCAATGTAAATATTGTAATTTTATTTATTAATAAATTAATTGTCTATTTATTTTAACCCTACTAACAGAAAATCAATTCCATTAATAAACCTCTAACTTAATAATTCTGGGAAGAATGAAAAGTTAATGAAAAGTGTGACCACAATTATCGGATAGAAAACAGTGGCTTGAGGAAGGTATGCTATTCAGAGAGGCGAATAAGCTTATTTCCTTTTATTTTGGCCCGGGAAAAATCATCCCGTAACATGGTATTAATGAATATTTGTGAACCATCACAAAAAATTATTAATTTGTTACCAAGAAAACTGGATCCTTCACAAATCTTACATCCACTATCCACTGAACTAAATTAATACCTAACCATCACATCATCCTTCAATCCTTTAATTTTACAGACGAAATAAAATTTTCAAATGTAGTTTCCCAGTGTGTCCACTCTTGGTCAGCTTTAGGAAAATTCGAATTTGCATCAAATCAATTTGGTTTTAGTGATTTATCCATTTTCTTAAATTTAGTATTAATTACTAAAGCAAGAAATAAAAATGATGACAATTAATACAAATAAGTAGGTAATTAAAGGTGTGACAATACGAAATATGTATACCTAGAAGTTTTTGGTACAACGTTCTCTTTCGACAAAGTGAATGAGAAAATTTACGGTAGGTCACCACGTATTTAAATACCTAAGTACAAACAATGCATACAAATTCACGCATCAGTGTGGTATAGGAATGGTGTTAAAAAGAAATCCCAATCAAACTTAACATGGCCAAATAATAAATAACTATTTATTATTCAATCAATAGTAGATACCTAATCTAGCAATTTAAAATCGACGACGCTATAATAATAAATTAATCATGTTTTTTTTTTCAAATACCCAGCAGCCGAGACCGTGAACTTTCCGGGTCTATGGTTGTTGACCTCGCCACCAATAATAACGCTATTACACAACAGTATAAACACAAAACAGACTACTAACCTGTATGAAATTTTTCCGCGAGGGGAATCTTAAAAAACGTAAACACTACGCGCACACTTTTACTATGCAAACGTCCCTGGTTCAAAACCGAAACACTCAATTTCGATTTCGTTTTGATTCCTCGTGGCCTTCTGTCGTCAGTTTGCCGTGGAACGTGCGCTCGGAAACATTCGAAAAATATGAAGACTCGCGCCGCAGTTAAAAGGAAACTGACGACGCTATCGCTCGAAAGGTTTAGATAGCCTCTACCACCACGATGTTTCAATTAATAAAAAACTACTTTATCTCTTCTACGATAGTGATTTGCGTGCTAACGTTATTATTTCTCGCGGACGCTAAAATTTGCAACTCGATCGACGTACGGAATCACGTACAAAATCTTAACAAACTGAAAAATTGTACCGAAATTATTGGCGATTTGATGATAGTACTTTTGGAGAATACTAAAAGCGAAATCGATTATGAGCCGTATGTGTTTCCGGAACTACAAAAAGTTACCGGGTTTGTATTGTTGTACAAGCTGAAACATTTGACTTCTTTGGGAAAACTTTTTCCCAATCTGAGGCTGATCAGAGGATTGAGTCTGCTTCAAAACTATGCCCTGATTGTTTATGATCTTCCTAATATCAGAGAGGTAGGTTTATATTGAAAATTATTTTTGTTAGTTTAAAAATGGGTTAATTTGGGTTGGAAAAAAATTTCGCTCAATCTTTTCCACTGTTGTGTTAGGTATCTTGATATCTACATAATATTTTAATGTGAATTTTTATTAAAAATCTCAAATATTGATAAAGTTTTTTTGATTGTTATCTTAAACTTGGTGACCACATGTATTATTAAACAGGTACTAATATTAATAATTCGATAGCTATAAGTTACGAAATGAGCTTCTTTTAGGCACACAACGTGAAAATTGTCCAACAACACTTATAAGTGCACTGAGGGCTTAATAGTTATTTATGCATTTTTTATTTATTTATTTCGTTTATTTAGCAATAGCTAATCGTGCAACTTACATATATAAATTCACAAAAGTTATAATTAGTGTATAGTGTCAATTAAAGTAAACAATTTAAAAAAAAACAGCAAACAATTCAGAACCACGAAAAGAAACATTAAAGGAGACAAACCGAAACAACATGAAAGACAAAATGTAATTTAAATTCAAAATACAAATGACAATCATTCTGAAAGACATAATAAAACTTGAAATTTTGTAAAAAAAGTCCATGAAACTCATACAGAATATGACATTCGTTTTTCACTTCACAACATACAAGATCAAGAGACCGCAAAACAAAAGAAATTCAAATCAACAAAACTCAGATCAACAAGAATAAGCTACTCATTTGTGCTTTAATCTGGAACATATATATCACATTGAGTCAGCAGATGAACTTTTAATTTTATTTTGAAATTGCTAATAGTAACACATGACTTTATTTCATCCGGTAGCTGATTAAACTCATTCATACCCTTAAAGAATACCGATCTTGTTGCTGATGCCCCACATCTATGTGGTATATAGAAGTTGTTCTGTTGTCTAGTGTTGTGATCATGCATCTGGCCACTGTAAACTACTTTTCTTGTGAGATACAATGGAGCAAGTCCAATTTTAATTTTAAAAATAAACACCAGTACATTATATTTTGCATATTCCACAACTGGAAGCCACTGAAGCAATCTAAGCATAGTTTTTATAGGAGTATATTTGTTACATGAGAGTATGATTCTCATACATCTATTTTGCAACTTTTGCAGTCTTTTGATATCATTCTGGTTAAGTAAATAAAGTATTGTTGCGCACTAATTGAAGTGTGGCAAAACTATAGTGTTAAAAACAACAATTCTAGACCAAGTTGAGAGAGATGCTGCACAGCGCCTAAGATAATTTGTCTTAAAACTAATTTTAGAAACCAGAATGTTGCAGTGATCTTTAAATTTTAATTTGTTATCAAGAATTACCCCGAGATACCTAATCTTTTGAACTTCTTCCAACTTATTGTTACCCATTTTAATTGAATAGTTGTTCATATTAAAAAGACTTCTGTAATTATGTGTACCAATAAACATAAATTTAGTTTTACTAACATTAATCTTCAAAAGATTCGTTGATGCATAATTGTCCATTTTATTTAGGGCATTATTAACAGTTTCCACCAACAAATCCAAATCTTTTGAAAAGGCGTAGAATAGACTATCATCGGCGAAGTTATGCAATTCAATGTCATGTATTACATCTGGCAGATCGTTTATATAAATAATGAACAATAGTGGACCCAAAACACTTCCCTGCGGTACACCATGCTCGTTAACTATCTCTATTGAACTAATTCCATTCAGTCTAGTTAATTGTCTTCTTGATGTTAGATAGTCTCCAAACCATCTCAACACCACATCCCCAATTCCAATTTTTTCTAGTTTCTTAAGTAATCTGTGCCGATCGACCGTCTCAAAGGCTCTCTGTAAGTCCAGAAAAACCGCTAGTACATTGAAACCTTGGTCATATTTTATTTTAAATTCATCCAGAATGTACTGTATTGCAGTTTCACAGCTGTGACCATTTCTGAAGCCTGACTGCTTCTCTGTTATAGTATTATGTGTGTTTAAAAATTCGAGAAGCTGATCATATACAACTTTTTCAATTATTTTCTCGATGACAGGAAGTGTATTAATGGGTCGAAAATTAGATGCTTCTATTGAGTTAAGTTTTTTTTGAACTGGTATTATTGTAGCGAGCTTTAGAGGATCTGGAAACTTTCCTTGTTCCAGTGAACTATTTATTAAATTAATCAGGGGTGCTTCAAGAGACGGATATATATTCCTTATTAATGTTACATTCAAGTCATCGGGACTATTTTTGTTTTTCAATGACATAACAATTTTAAACAGGGAATCAGAATCTATTAATCTGAACGAGCTAAAGTCTGCATTATTTTTTGTGAAGTCACTTAAGGTATCCGTATTCCCTGAATCAGGTTTAATTTGTTCAATTATGGAATCTATGCTGTCTACATAAAATCTGTTTAGTCTTTCGGGCAGACTGTTTTTATCCATTATTATTACTTCTTCCATCTCTATTTTATCAATGTTTGCATGATTTTTTTTTGGTAAAATCTCTCCCAATACATTCCACATTGCCCTAGGATCCCGTTTACATCCATCCACTTTTTGCTCATAGTGCTTTATTTTCTCTTCTTTGATAGTTTTAACTACTTGATTTCGCTTATCTCTATACGATCTATGTGCATCTTCACTCTTAAGCAATTTGTAAATCTTATAACTTTCATCCCTTAGTTCTGCTGCTTTTTTGACATTTTCATTCCATCATGGCTTATATCGTGGTAAAATTTTAACCTGCTTTAATGGTGCTATAGTATTCAAGGCCCGATAAACTGTTGACACAAAGAACTTACACTTGTCATCTATATTATTTATATTAAAGTGCCAATCAACCAATTTTAGGTTCTCCCTAATTAAATCATAATTTATATTTTTCCCTCTAGTCGAAATAAAATGTGGAATCTTATTTTGTGATTGCAATATTGCAGCATTGACACATATATAATAATGATCACTCACTCTGGGGGCATGTTTTACTTTAGGAATCAGATCCAGATAATTTGTAAACAACAAATCAATACATGTACCACCGTCTCTATTTGGCCTTGTTATTTCCTTAATTTGTTGTTGGAATCCTATATCATGTGAGACATTAGTATATCTGGCTTCAACATGTCAATATTAAAATCTCCCAGTATTACAGTTGGTATGTTATTATCACATACAGAATCATGACTCCATTCTTCAAAAAAATTTAAAAAATCCTTCTCACTACAGCTTCGGGATCGATATAGACAAACTACATACAAGTTTTTGTTACTAACTTCTATCTTAACTCCTAATACCCAATACTTCTTTTCAAACTTAACTCTGCTTATTGATAATATTTTAATAAAGTTCTTTAAATAAATTTGTACACCACCTGTCGATCGGCTTGAACTGTCTAGTCTAACCAATCTATATCCATCTATACTGACTTCATCATCTTCAATTTCTTCAGTCAAATGTGTTTCAGATAGAAAAATAATTTTACGATCCAAGTCCAGAACTAGGGCATGGATCTGATCAAAATTAGCAATTGTACTACTTGAATTAAGATACAGAAGATCACATTCTGTATCCTTACCCTTAATATTCTTACCCTTACTCCGCGACAGCCTTTCATTGCTGCATCGTTTATTAAACCTATCTATAAAAAAGCCCGCTCAGACTGCTGATCGGCCTCAAAAGTAGTCAAATTTATAGTTACTTCAAGTTCTTTATTATTAAACTCTATAAATTTCAAATTTGTATTCCTATGTAGACCAAAATTATCTATTCCTTCTTTAATTCTACTTGAAAATCTATCAAGACCATATCTATTCAGATATATTCCCTGCTCAGTGAAATCGCCAACGAGATAATCACTGGAGTGATCTACTAATATGTCTATATTGGCAGAATATTGTTTCAATCGTTCCGCTACGTACTGGATTTTTTCGTTTATATGAGACAAAATATTTACTTTACTTGATAAATCGCTTTTTTACGGAATAGAGCATAAAAGTAAATTGGTTTGAAAGCATTTATTTGCAAGCAAGACGTAATCTCTGCACCTAACATCCAGATTGTTCACACCCGCTACCAGAATTACATAATCAGCACTTGTCAAATCTTTAATATAGCATTCGGCACCAGCAACAACATCCGTTAATCTTGCAAATGGCTTAGAAACTATCTGAATTACAAACCTATTCCCCAAAACTCTGTTCAAGTATTCCCACAAATGTTTACCAAAATCATGTGTGAAAACAACTAACTTATTTTTTATTTTTTTTATACTAAGCAAACTACGATTCTTATTTTCTACAACTATCTTATTTTTCTTATTACTAGGACCACTATCATTCTCATTTTCCACTATAACTATCTCATCTTTCCTACTACTAGAACCGCTATTATTCCTATTCTTGACACCTACAGATTTCCGCAATTCTTCTTTCATTTCATTTATCTGTTGGCGCATATCATATAACTCTTTTTCATAAATTGCATTGTCAGTTTCAAATATCCGGATTGTGTTTACTAACTCTCTATTGATTGTATTCTGATCTTCCACTTCCTTCCTCTTTATTTCAATATCTTCCTCATAGTTCCTTAACTTTATCTCATGTCCATTACAATTTATTTCTAATATATGCATTTGTTTTTTTATACTCTCAATGGTCTCACTTTTATCCACAATTTCTCTGCTTAGACGTTCAGCCTCTTCCACTCTAATCACGTTTGACACATTATCGTTAAGTTGATCTTTTTCCACATGAGTCTCCTTATTCTTCATTTTTTCTTCCCTGTCCCTGGCGCCCCTTTGCATGTTTATCTTACTACTTTGATTTTTATTCTTTAAAACATCTAACTTCCTCTCACATTCTTTAAATTTTATTTTCAAATCCTGATATTTCTTTACAAGTTCTTCATATCTTCGCTGTTATTCCTTCTTCTGACTAGCCAGTTCCTTTTCCATCCTCTGGATTGTTTTAGTGAGTCGTCGGACTTTTCTTGTTCAGCTTTAAAATCCTGTCTTATTTGCTCTAGCTTCACCTCTAGGTCGTTAATAATATTATTTTGTTGTTTTATTCTTTCTTCCGCGGACTCTTCTGCTGCAAATACGTCATCCTGGAAATCAATAGTCTTCCTCCTTAGCCTCTTGATCATCTCTTCTTTGCCTTCAATAACTTGTATTAATTCATCGATCCTCTTTCCCTGGGTTACCTTGGTCTCTTCATTGTAATTTTCCATTGAAATCAAAAGCTCGTTCAATTGCTTATTTTTCTGGAATAGCTCTTCTGTCTTTTCCTGACTCATGCACATGTTTCTGAAAGATTCCTTACATCCATTGCAATAAAAAAGCAAACTTCTCTCTGTTAAAGCAAGAGTTTGAGCTTCAGTGGTTTTTAATTCTGTACAAACTTTACAAAATATTAATTTGCATGAATCACAGGGCGAGCCAAATAGTTCATCTTCAGTTGGACGTGCCTTCAAAATGCACTTTTTAAAACATTGAGTGCAGGTGAGGTCTCCCATATTTCTAAAGCGCCCAGTTAGGCGTTGCTAAAACTCCATATCCCATTTATTCAGTCCCAATTTGTTTTCTCTTTGAAAGTAAACAAACCAAATTCTTTAAATTCCTTAATTTGAATTTTGGTACTGATAAGGATTTGAGGGCAGTGTTTATTATGGGTACTAAAAAACTATATTATTATTACTATTGTAGTCAATACAGCAAACACCATGATTTTGTGGTTTTTTCAAATAAAAAAAAAAGAAATAGAGTTTTTACTGTTCTTGTGTTAATGAGTAGAAGCAGCTTACATTTTTCTAAACACAATGACATCAACACAAAAAAAAAAAAATAATTCACTTTATAAAATTAATATTCAGTGAAGAAGCGACAAACGCGTGCACACACGACGGAACAATTATCAATATGTACCTATTGGTGTGACATAAAAGAATTTATGTCATACCAGTACATTATTGTATTTTTATACCTTAGATACCATCTACATAATTCATTACTTTATGCCCGTGCGGGCATAAAGTTCACATTATGGCCCGCGCGGGCATAAAGACGCAGAAAACAGTTTTCAATTAACTTATTCTTTATTAAAGAAATATAAATTTACGCTTATAAACATGTTATTTTTGTCAAAAAATGATGATGACAATTTGCGAAGTGACACTTTTTTCCTAGGTATTTATTATTCACAACCAACTGGTATGACATAAAAATTTGTATGCACCACGGGTACTAATAGATATATATACCCTCGGGCCAGAGGCCCTCGGCTTTGTAAGACTGTCGCCCTCAGGGCATAATCATCTACTTAGTACCCTTCATACATAAATAATTATTAAAAACTTAAATGACAATCCAAACGTCGCTATTATGAAACGTGAGCAAAAAAAATACGTTCATGTAGGGATCATATAACATCTTCCCCTTTTAAAATTTAGTTAAAAGATTTGGAGGGTTTGAAACTCTATACCTGATTCTGTTCTATGAAGCATAAAAAGTGATTGTAATTCCGTTAAATTTTTCTTTTGTATCTTTATTTTTTTTTTATTTATTGGTTCTTCTTACAAACACCATACAAGACAGTAATTACATGTAAGAGCAATATACATACATAAATAAGGACAATACACAAAAGAGGTCTAGCTAGCTAGCTTAACAGGCAATATCATCTATGAAAGATATTAGATTGCAATTGGAAAAATCTAAATCACAGTTATTTTGCATTAAAGTATTACATGTCTTAAGCATAGATGTTAGGGGTGAATCTTTAGTGTCTATATGAAATATACCTACATTTCTTTGCCTTAAATTAGTCTTTGGGACTTTAAAATATATATCATTTATCAACAGGCAATTCTTATAGGTACTTAATATTATTTAGAATGTAATATATAAAGATCACAGATTGCTTTTGTCTTCTAAATACTAGAGAGTGGAACTGAAAACTATTTAACATAGATCTGTATATGGTGTCATACAGTATCATTTTTCCTTACATACAGGAATCTGAGAAATCTTTTTTGGACTTTCTCAATTAAATCTATATTTTGATTTGCTTGAGGAGACCAGATGATAGATGCATACTCCAAATGCGAGCGAACCAATGCATTGTACAACAAAATAATGGTATCAATATGTACAAAATGTTTACTGTTCCTAATGATAATCCCTAGAGCCCTGTATGCCTTGTTCACTATATACTCATAATGAGTTTTAAATCTAAGAGATGGCTGAAAATATACAGCGAGATCCTTAATGTTATCTACACGTTTTAGCATCTTACTATCTATCATAAAATCATGTTTGACTAGATTTAATTTACGGGAATAAGACATTACACAACATTTATCCACATTTAAGAACATGTTATTTTTTGAGAACCAATCAACAATACTATTCAAATCAACCTGTAACAGGGCACAGTCATTTTCACACGATACAGTTTTAAAAATTTTAAAATCATCAGCGAAGAGCAAACTATCAGAATGTTTAACAACACCAGGTAAACTATTTATAAATATGATGAACAATATAGGACCTAGATTGCTGCCTTGGGGAACACCAGATGTTGCTGTGAAATGTTCTGAGATGCAATTACCAACTTTAACAGATTGCGTTCTATTAGTTAAGTATGACTGAATGAAAATGTAGGCACTTTTTGAAAAACCAAATTCAGCAAGCTTCCCCAGCTTCATCCGATGGTCCACCTTGTCGAACGCCTTAGTACAATCCGTATACACTACATCTAACTGTTTCTTATCATTAATGGCAGATGATACATTATTTGTGAAAACTAACAGATTTGTGACAGTAGATTTGTCACTGACAAAGCCATGCTGCTCCTCGCATATCTTGCTCTCTGTATGATTCTTAATACTTTCATAATAGTACAAGAGCCAGTGAAAAAAAATCCGGCTGATTTTATTATGGCTGAAAAATTTAGGAAATGTAGAATCAATCATGAACAATACGAAATCGCGTGCCTGCCTGCTCGTATCGGTTGCGTTTATTAATAAAAAAATGTTTAACGAGGTTTTGTAAAAGCAAAAACCGACTCATCGCGTTTTGCATGAAAATTTGTGTGAACATAGAACAAACACCCCCAAGTATGATTTCGAATGCCTGTCTACCTAAATCAGTTGCTAAATAGCCCTGTCAAATGAAAATCGACTGAAATTTTTCTCAAAATTCGACTCATCGCGTTTCGAGTGAAAATTAAATATATCACAGTTAAAGGCATTAGAAGAACATTTCTGACTGCCTGCCCGATCAAAGCCGTTGCTTTCTAATGTCTGCCTGGTCCCAAAGTTCGCAAAGTATAAAAATATGCCAGGTGGAAATGGTGGAATACTCAAATTCACAAAATAAAAACGCATGGACCGTGCCGACCCAGAGATGCACAAAGAACAATGATGTCGTAGCAGTGTTGTCAGACTTTTTTGACGACTTTCCTTCAACTGAGTGACAAAAACCCTTCAAAATCCTTCAAAACAGTAGCAGGTGGCCGGCACAACAATGGTTATTATTTTATCAAGTGCAGAAAGTTATACTTTCCTGCACGCGACTGCCGTTGACCCGAACGACGCGAAGCGGAGTTCAAGTAAGCACTCAAGGGCAGGAAAAATACTTTTATTTGTCACTCATTTGTAAAACATCATTTATCAAGTCAAAACATAAACAACGAAAATTGATTTCTACCAGTTACTGGCTCTACTGATTTGTAAAATTGACAGCTAAACTGTAAAAACTTTTTTTCTACGACTGCCTAGAAAGCTATTAAAAACGCACTACCAACTTACTTAGAAAATCGATTATTTCGCACAGCGTGCGAAAAGTATTTTTCACACGCTCCGACCGTGCGAAAAGTACTTTTCGCACGCTAAAATAAAAATGACACTTCCATTGAATTTTTGTTCTACAAGCAACTCTGAGTGCATTCAGCGTACGTACCAAAATTGTTCGTTGATTATAATTTCAATTAATAATTTTTCAACAAAAAAATAAATAAATAAATTCCAATGTGAATATAGTTAAAGTTACTTCGCAGTCGTAGAAAAAGTATAGTGTGTAACGCGTGTGAAACGCACTTTTCACACTCGTGGGGTTTGTGCCACTCGCCTGCGGCTCGTGCCACCAAACTTCCCCACGCGTGTGAAAAGTGCTATTTTCAACACTTGTTGGACAATATACTATTACAAGTCAGTAGGGTCAGTAGAATTATTTATTAAAATTGTATTACCTATGTATCAATTTTTTATTTATTGTTTACAAATGAGTAACAAATAAATTATTGTACATCATACGCCAGATATCAGTTTTTACTGGCTCATGAAGGTGACAAGCTCGCCTGACGGCTCGCTAGTAATAATTTCGTTCAATCACCAGTAAAAATTGTTTTACTTAGCTAATAATGTAAAATACTATATGCGAGGGGGTAACATCTTCTTAAATTTTGTGACAGTATTGCGACAATCCCTATGATTTCCCTACGATTGCTGGGATTGCGAGTGACTGAGAGAAAGATTTTTGGTAGCTGCTTGAGTTACTGAGTTACACTGACATATTATCTAGGGAACATATTTATTTATTTTGGCCATTAGATTAATAACCCACAAATAAAAATATGAGTAAAAATATGAACAAATAATTTTGCTATTCTTTCAAGGATTTCAAAGTAAGTATATGGGTATGTACATATACAGGGTATGTTCCTTATAATCAAGTAGTGCGGCTTCTACAACTTGAACAAAAAAAAACTAATAAGAAAAGTTGATGAAAAAGTTAGGGTTTTATCT